TGCTATTATAATTTGAAGACAGATTCAAATTATCTTGATTACTTTTTGAGTTATGGCCGAAATGAACATTAATTTCTGAACAACCTGATAGACTGGCAACACTATGCTCCCATAGAAAATACATTATAGCAATGCTCGCCAATGCTCAATTATGCTCGCTTTGCTCTTCTATGTTTATAACTAATCTTATTTTCCATTAAATTATCATTTTGTAAATTCATGTGCTTGGATAACTGCAAAATTATTTTATTCGTTTAACATTTATTCACAAAATAAATAATTCAATAGTTACAATTTTATTAAACATAAAATCAACTTGTTATTAAATATAATTCTATTAATTCTATAGAAATACTAATGAATTTGCTTTTTTTTAATAAGAAAAGGTTGTAATAAAGAGGTTCATTAATGTAAGTAAAATATTTTTATTTTAATTATTCAAGATATTACAAACAAATATTCATTTAATTAAAAGTAAAATATTTTATAAACTTAATTGTTGTTTGTTTCCAAAAAATAGTCACTAAATTTAATACTACTTGGTACGTTTAAACAAACGCACCGGCTAATACTAGGGGCGCACATCATCCCTAATCAATATAAACTTAATAGATAAATGAGGGACTTTACAAGTGCTGCCGCCTGAAAATAACTAATCGCTCCATTGGCCCGGTAATTAAGTCTACGCCAACTTCATTACTGTTTTGAACCTTTAATAATATTGTGATTCATTCTAAATAGCGTACATAAATATCTTTTATAGTTAGTTTTGGTGTTAATTTTTAGAAAAAAATTATCAATAATTATAAAAATATTTTAAATAATATATCTTTAATTTAGTATACAATATACAATGTATTAGATTAAAACAATTTCTAAACATAATGTGACTAAAATATATCGTTTTACAATAATATTATTTATGAAATATATAAAACGCCGTGCTTCATAATATTGTAGGAATCAGGCCAAAAGGCCCGATAGCTAGAGATCGGAATCTTATGGACACTAATTCAGTATAACTTGGCTTTTAATTTAACACCAAATATTTATTGAATATAAAGACTTATGTATTGAGTGCCTCAATACCAACAATACAACTCTTACTACATAGTAATCAATAGGTTATATACTCAGATCTCCATAATTTCACACACTTGGGACCGTAGTTATAAGGGTGTGAATTTATAGAATGTGAAAATATAGAAAGAATTTTATTGAAATTTTTGTGATAAATAATGCGATTTAAGTTAACAAAATGTTGTCTGACACCAAACATCCAAATACAACTGTTTTTACGGCTTAATTTTTGCACAATTTTTCATTTTATTCTTTTCACACTCTGATAAAGACAAATATTTTTGTTTTTAGCACTCATTATTAGTCTTAAAATCAATTGTGAATTTAGAGAATGTGAAATACATTAGAAAAAACATAAACATGAGCACATTTGATGTGAAAGTGATATTATGGAGTGTGAAATTAGGCCTATACTAATTCGTATACCCCAAGATGGGGCTGGTAGTTTATGTGAAATTAGGGAGAGTGTGAAAATATAGAATGTGACATTATGGAGATCTGAGTGTATACCCATTGAGAAGGAAATACAATTATAAATATTTCATTAGACTATAAACAATATTTTACATAAAATTCCTAATACATAAAACTTATGATTAAAGTACAATTTATATCATAATAATTATACATTGATTTAATAACAAATGCAATATTAAACGATCAAAAGTTAAACCAAAACATTTAACAACTATTTCTTAGAATTTTGAATTAAACATAAATTTGTTTATAACTAAATTTCCGCTCTCTACAATATTATTTAGTGGAGTTGAATAATAATTATTTATAACTGTATTAAATATTTAATAATAAATTATTAAAATTAAAGAGTATAACTTATAATATAAATAAAACGTTATATAATCACGTTATACTTTTATTTATTAGATGATCAAGTGGTGCGCTTAAATATGCGAATTGCCTGGTTTATGGGTCGCACTTCACCCCCGGACATTAAATAGCGATTATAAATCTTGATATTACCATCTGCACCTGAAAAAATCCAGTCGCTCCACACACCAGGTCTCATATCTAATGAGTATCCCGTCATAGGACCGCCATCTTTCCTTTGTATTGATGCGAATCTCGGTGCATTTTCACCCTGGACTCCCTTACCAAACCCTTGGCTACCGCCACCATCGGCCCGGAAAAATTGACCCGCGTATGCGGCCGTTACGTCTGACCACGTGTATGCCGGCCACAATGTTTTGGGGTCTGCCTGACTGGGCATTTGTACGTATATAAAACCAATTGGTACTTGATTATGCTCCAATTGAGTAATTCTCTGAACAGTCGCATCTAATATCCGGCGACTGTCTCTGATCAAACGCTCAGTTTCTTGATCCGACCACAATACCACACGCTTGCATATGTAACCATTCATCTTTGTACAAGGTTCATCCGCCCATTTACCACGATTAATCTCATCAACTAACATTTCCACACAGTTGCTATCTTTAACGGGTCGGCCGGACATCCAATTCTCGTATTCACCACTACTTCTGTCCGTCCATACGATGTGTTTGTCTTTGACGCCGGCGTCGAGCCATACATTGTCTACCATTTTATATTTGACAATCATGTTGTTTAAAAAATCTTGCTCAGCCTTTGAATTAATTGTTGGTAGAGATGAATCCTGGATTGATTTGCAGAACTTTACCATATCGTGATATTCAGCCACACCTGAATGATATTGATAGCATATGTCGTAGTAATCGTCGTGAAATAAGTCCCAACCATCGCCACAAACTCCTTCAGAGTTGCTAAGCGTGACTAAAATGCAAAAATTAATTTTAATTAAAAATAAGGTTATATTATATTAATAAATATTATATATTATATTGTTTAATAATTATTCAGTAGTTTTACTATAATAATTATTATAGATTTAACCTAATTATATTAACTTATTTATTAAATAATTTAAATTTAATATTAAAATAGTGTTGATAAAATCAATTATACATACATGTAAAAAATGTAAAAAATACAATGAAATATATTTTGAACATTTTTATAGCAATATTGATATAATAAGAATATTTCTAATATTTTTTATTACACATATTTATATCAAATTATTATCAAGATGTAAACCTGGTGTAAAAATGTAAATCCTACTCAATATTAATTTATCATGACGGATACATCAATTTGAAATATGTTTGACTGACATATTAATCAACTAGAATTTTGTAACAAGATTATTCTAACTATAATTTATACTAAATATTCGATAAGTAATGCAATTTTGAATGACAATAGATTAAAACAAAATGACATTTTCCCAGGAATATAATTCCCAATCGGGTTAAACTATATTTTTATCAATGGTAGTTTTAAACAATATGACATTATTTACAAAGTAATCTTATTTGTCAATTATATTATAACTTTGTAAATTGTACATTTCTGTTTTTCGATACATGTAATTGAAATATTAAAAATATCGAGATTTTTTGGGTTTGTATGCTTTTACTGATTGTTGATTACATTGATGAATAATCATAATCAACATGCCGAAAATTGTTTTAAATAACTAGTTTAGTTATAATTTCTTATGAGATTTGTTTCTGGTAATTTTCTAATATTGTAACATTTAAGTATAAATTATGTTAGTAAAATCTTATATTCGGTGTAAGTTTTATGAACAAATTACATATTAAGTATTAATTAGTATATTTATAAAGTAGTTAATAAGTATTATTTTAATTAACTATTTTAATTTTACATAATTTTAATTATTTATAACATAATACATTTATTTAACTCGCTGAAATATGCGCACGGCTTGATTACGAGGCCGCACTTCACCTTCGGTCATCCAAAACTTTAGGAAATAGTCGGTCGCACCAGTAATCTCGGAACCGGAATAAATATATTTACTCCAATCACCGGGTATTAGCTCAATGTCTTTCGCGTAGTCAACTGTGCTCTCGTAATGTACGTTTGACAATCTAGGTGCATTTTCCGCCCGAACACCTTTACCAAACGCTAGACTGCCTGACCCTTCAGCCCGGAAAAACTGACCCGCGTATGTGGCCGTCACATCTGACCACGTGTATGCGGGCCATAGGGTTTTGGGATCAGCCTGGTCGGGCAATTGTGTATATATAAACCCAATGGGCACTTTAGTTTGTTCCAACAAGGCCATTTTAGCGTCAGTATCTTGCTGAGCGACTAGCAAATGCTCAATTATAGCAATAGCCGAGTTTAATAAAATAGTAGTATGCTTCATGTAGTTATCTAATACTCGCCTATTGTCCCTGATCAAACGCTCTGTACGTTGACCCGACCACATGACTACTCGCTTGCATAAGTAAGCATTTTTCTTGTTACATGGCTCATCTAGCCACTGTCCAATGTGAGCATGGTCGGTTACCATTTCCACACAATTACTATTATTAATTTGTCGGCCGGGTATCCAATTCTCGTAGTCAGCACTCGTACTGTCCGTCCATACGATGTGTTTGTCTTTGACGCCGGCGTCGAGCCATACGCTGTCCACTATTTTGTATTTGTTAATGAGCTTGTTAAGAAATAGTTGCTCATCTTGCGAATTAATTGTAGGCAGGGATGACTCCAATTCTCCCCGACAAGCCGTGGCCACTATTGCGTAGTCTCCCAAAGCACCTGGGTAATATTTGTAGCATATGTCGTAGTACTCGTCGTGAAATGCGTCCCAACCTTCTCCGCACGCGCTCTCGGATGTGATTAGTTTTGCTAATTGTTGTAGATTATAATTATATTTAACAAGCACGTTTATTATTTATAATAAATTAGTTTTAAGCTATTATTATAAGAAGGGTACATACCGTTAAGGCAAATGATCAATAAAAGCATATAAAGCATGTACATTATTAATTAATTATACTAGTTAAATAGAAAATAATATTTTATTACTTATACAAGCAGTTTTAATTGTGATTGATTGCATTGTTTTTACTCGTATTTATATTTGTAAATAATCTGTTATTAACACATATTCCTAGCATAAATATTAGTAACATTTATTATATTTTATGTATTAATATATCAATTTCACATCTATTTTAAAAGATATAATATAATAAATGTACTTAATATTTTATTTAACAATGAGTTTTATGATGTAAAAATGGTTCAATGATCTATAAAAATAATTCCCACGATGATTATTTGTTATATCACTTTAATACTCGATTGTTATTTTCCATCAAGTGTTTTATTTACCTGAAACTTGTATAAAACTTATATACAGTGTATATATATTTGTAATTAATCCAAAAAATTAATTTTATTAATATCCCATTAGATATATTATAGTACAAAATAATTTTTTTTACCTCCCATAAGAATTATTTGCCTAGCTTAATTTAAAAAATTCTTATAAATATACTATTAAACCATAGTTTACAAAACTCGGATTCTATTGTCTATAAATGTAAAGTTAAATAATAAGATCAATTTGTCAAATATAGTCATAAATAATAATGTTTATACAGTAACTATCATTTAACCCAATATATTATCATGAATATTTCCAAAAAATTACATTGGGTCTCAAAAATAAACATCATATTTATTTATATTGTTTGAACATATTCAATAAAATTAAAGTATCAGACAGTAAATGCTGAATAAAAATTATTTAACACGTTTAAATATGCGCATCGCCTGATTTCGGGGCCGCACTTCGCCACCCTGTTCATAAAATTGTAGATCGTGTAAATTGCCGCCACCATCTTGGCCGGTAAAA